TACATATATGTTATACCCCGAATTGGAATCTGTCCGACTCGGAACCAGGCTGCCGGTTGTTCTGGTTCATAATTGAGTTATCCGATTTGGAATTCTCTAAGTAGGTTACCCGGCTTGAAAATATATAATTAAATCAATATATTAACCCTAATCCTGACATTACTAATTTTAAAGCTGGACAGCCTGCTTGAGAATTCTAAAATCGGGTAAATCAGATTCTGAATCGGGTAGATTCCATACCGGGGTACAACATATTTTTATATATATTTTTAATAAAAGGATAAAAAGAGCATATAATTGAATATTTTTATATATATATATATAAATTATAAAAAAAAAATTTTCACATATAAAATCATAAATATAATAATATAAATATAAGCTATAATAGTAATGTTTAATATTCGCCGACCTTTCTTACCTATAAAAGGAGAGAAGTTTAAGCTAAGACTCCTTCGTATTGTTTTAATTTTTGTTGATTCGGATGTTTTCTCTTCGGATGTAGCGAATGGTATCCGGTCAAAACCACTCCGATTTTTTTCAGGTTCCACTTTTTTCTCTGATTGTTCATCCTCATCATTTTCCGTTGGTATATATTGCTTAGATAAGGTAGATTTACGCCTCCTCAAAGAGCTCATTCCAGTATTGAACCTATCTGTTGCATGATTATTTAACCATTTTCTGAATTCATTTGGAGCTATTTCTGGATGAAGATGTGCAGGTACCCAAAATAAATGCGACGGATTATCCGTCTCAATGTGAAGCTCTCCTGTGATCGGTTCAGAATTTAATGCATAACTTATTTCATTGCTTTCTAAGCCTATAAATGACTTTCTTTTGAGAGTAGCTTCTACAAAGCCAGGGAAAGGTTTTCCGGAGGAAGATTCTGATGAATTACCAGTTAGGTTGGTAAAGGTATCTCTTATATCAGTTGAAGATTTAGCTTGTGCAGGTGTAGTTGAAGCTGATGAGTTTTTTTTACTGTCTTTAATATCATTCTCTTGCTGAAGGGATATATTAGTTTGAACTTCATTTTTATTCGTCTGTAAATCATCACTAGTGGTGGTAGAAGAATCTTTTATCGGGTTTGAAGTGCTTAGATCGTTAACCTCGATGCGA